GTAGTAGTAGTAGTAGTAGTAGTAGTAGTAGTAGTAGTAGTAGTAGTAGTAGTAGTAGTAGTAGTAGTAGTAGTAGTAGTAGTAGTAGTAGTAGTAGTAGTAGTAGTAGTAGTAGTAGTAGTACTCGTCGTCGTAGGAGGATGGGGAATAGAAGAAGACTTGGGGCAAAGTAGAAAGTCCGATTTTTGATACAATATGTGTATTCATCTCACATGAGAGGGCTGGAGACTTGGTGCAGTTCTGTCATAGGTCGGCCCGCGTTGTAGTTGACTGAATCGGCGGGACTAACGGTGCCTTACTCGACGGCATTACTTCTGATCACCAGCAACAGCAGCGAGAACGGACAGTCCGACACCGTCTGCTTCGCAGAACTTCGTGCAGCCAAGACTGAATCACCGAAACAGGTTCGTCTCGCGTTAGCCCCTTCCTTATGTCCCACCCCCTGACAGCACAGCTACCTGTGGTCCTCAGAGATATGAATATTGGTAACCGCATTTTATTTCTACTTTCTCTAACTCGCAATGTGTGAACATGGCAAAAACTGCTCGTTTGTCAGCGGAGAAAAGGAGGAAGACACGTGCGTTGTGTGCGCATGCATAATTCACGAGAGAGTGAGATAGAGCAGAGTGTGTGTTTGCCAGGCAGTTCGCATTCAGTTGCTCAATGCTCACCCTTCCCCCTCTCCCCCCCCCTCGCCATCCTACCCTCGCCTTGAGCGCCTAGATACTCTGACTGTTTTCCAGACAGGCTGTCCTGATGAGTTTAAGATGACTGAAGCACAGTCTGCGTGGGTGAGCTCGTAGACGTAAGCTGTATCCATTTTTTTCGATACATAGAGTGTCATCTTACCGACGGAGTGAAGTATCTCTCTCGCGCGCGGGCACACACGCACACCCCGAAACGCACCTAGGGGAAACAGACTTGTGAAAGATTTCACATGAACAGTTGGGGTTGAGTGCGCTTAGGCTGCGTCACTGTGCACTCGAAATCAGCAAGAAAAAGTGGTAGCGAGCGGACGGTGAATGCACACATGCTACGTCGCCGTAGTCTTAACAAAATTAGCAACTCCTGCATTCACCCCCAATGATCCTACTCGAGTGCCCAATTACAGTATCCGAACTATTAGCAGTCTCAATTTCATCAGGGAATTTGTATAGTTTGCATTTTCCGTGTGATTGATCAGCCTGATGAGGCAAAGTCACGGTACTGAACAGGCAGGGGGGATGGTAATGGCGTTAACTCATGAAGTGTTGGCCGGAGAACCGTGACTCGAACAACTTTCGGCCAGCGCAATTGTCCTGTCACCAAAAACGTTCAGGCTCTCCGGACTCGAAGCCGTGGCCGGTCTCGTCAGGCGGGCCACGACTTGACAGTTTGCCTCACGTCTCCTTACCGACGCTGTGTGTTCGGATACCCGCGTCCAGATGCGCCTGAACAACACTCTCGGTCCATATGCAGGAGTTTTTGCCAAAACTTGGAGCCGGTGTTGTTTGGTCCCTCGGCACGTGTTCTCGGGGACTGGTTGATGAAGTTGAGTGGGTAACTATTCGTTCTGAGCTGCCACCGAAGGTAGCAAACTTCAGTAACCCCCCTCTTCAGGTCCGCCGAAGTACGTCCCAGCAGGCAGACGAAGATTTCGCTTCAGTACAGTGCACTTGAGGGAAGATGGCTTACGTCTTTGAACTCCATGTTTCTCACATAGAGATCAGCAGTGATGGCAACAAACCAGGGGAATTACAATGTCAACAGGAAACGGACTTAGTTTCACAGGCATATGCTCATAGGTCGCGCAGTTAGCTAATCTACCTGTTATCCCAACATGTGACTGTCTAAATGTTTGCTAGACCCGGCACATGGCAGTAGACCCCAGCTGGCTATTCCACGGCTCTACCACACGATTTGAGAAAAACACTTTATCACATCCGACCTTCCTTGAGGCGCACGTAGTTTGCAGGGATTTACATGGACACTTGTCACAGAGGTGCTTTCAAAGAACCTTCCTTAGGGCGCACGTAGTTTGCAGGGATTTACAATGACATTTTTTGCAGAGGTGCTTTCAACGAACGCCCAATACAGGCGGGCACAGTCCAACTCAGACGTGATACGGACGGCTTGTATCGAGTCCTGCGCAGTTGCCTATAACTCAGCGGAAAGAGATGTAAGCTAACTAGACGGGTCGCATACGTCAGTGCTGCTTGAACCCGGGTTAGTTTGGTAGCTCGCCTCTGTGCCCTTCGATTAAGCTGTACTCTTGCTGCATCTTTGGTTTTTGGACCTCGATAGCATTTTCAAAGATGGGGTCCTACAGGCGTCTAGAAGACTTTATGTAATCAGACCCTATCCAAAACGGTAGAGGC